AAACATACTACTACTACTATACTACTGTTGTTATTGTTGTGTACCATAGAGTTGGAACAAACCCATAGGTGAACCTCCAGTGAGTTTTCAGAGGCAGTTAATTGCATGGGAGAAGATTGCTCATCCTTCTCCTGTGGAGCATCTGGTGGCTTCGAACTGCATCCATTCGGGATTGCAGCTCAACTTCTTGCCACTAGACCACCAGAAGTCCTTAACACTTCTACTCCTAAAATGATCATTTCTTACTCTGGATTGGAGGGCAAGAAGACCTAGATTTGAAATCTGGATGTACAAATTACTTGAGGAGAGTCACAACCATCTAGAATCTCACTGCTTCTTCCTGTGTAAAATGTTTTGCTTAACATTGTGACTCTAAGCACTAATCCAGTAATCTATCTACACATTGTTAATGCCAATCAATATTTATTGATTAAAGGTGTAAATAACATTTACAAAGTTGCTGGGATAACTAAATCAGAAATTATCAAAGTTCCTAACAATGATTTATTAAATAATTGCTCTCTGACATGTATTATGTCAAGCACTGAGGGATATGAGATAGCGACAGTTTCCAATATCTGGAAACTTCACTCTAGAAGAGCTACAAGACCTATGTGTTGTGAAGCCCACAGCACTGTGAAGCTCAGAATAGGTGACCAATAAACACAGAATCAGAATTTTTATTGCACTTTACAGTTTGCAAAGCACTTCCCTGAACATTACCTCATTTGAAGCAACTGTTAGAATAAGTTTTATAAGAATAAACAAAGGTGTTAGAAGTTGTAAAATGAGTTGTAGGCAGTGTGAGAACTGCCTAGTCTAATTTCTAATAACTCTACAAAGGGAAACTGTCCCCATAAACAATCTCCACAGTACAAAACTATAAGGTCAGACATGGTCTCCCATCCTCCTGCCCCTACTTCTACTAATTTCAGCTCCAACCGTACTGTTCTACTGGGTCCAAAAGCCCTTGCAGTAGCCACACAAACTTCACAGAACCATACTCACAGTTACAGGGTTTATTAAGAAAGTTAACGGGCAACAGGTTAGCATCAGGGTACATTCCTTCACTCCAGGCAGCTTCTTGCGAATGGTTACAGGCCATTTGATGTTCAACCGCATGGCTTAGGTTAGTGTTGCAAAGTTCAGTCCTCTAGCAATCTTGGGTGGAGAGCTTGGCCTTTGGCTATGTAGGGCAGCACTCCCAAGTCAACTCCGTCTCATATTGGTCTCTGTATCTCTGCTGAGGTTGCTTGGCTGTAGATACCTGATTGGCTGGCACAGGAATACCTGGCCCTGAAAGATGTACACTACACTCCACTCCACTCCGTTTCCTTTTCCTTGCCAGTTGAAGTCCTCAAATTTCTGCTTTGAGTCCACTCACTTTAAACTGAGGTATGGCGAGACTAGCCAATACCCTTGTTGATAGACTAACACACACTACACAATCTCGCCTTACCATGTGACAAAGTCAAGGACAAGGAAAGCTATTTTGAACAATAAACCCTTGACACTTCAGACTTTTTCAGCAGAGAAAAGGATGATCTTTCCTGTGGATAACTGTATTGAAATTGGAGGTGGGTACAAAATACAGATGTATTTTGATGGGCATGTAAACATGGTAGTCAAAGCTTTACAGAGAAGAACATAAAGCAAAAGCCTGTCCCCAGTAACTCCATTGTGCTTCTTTTTAATCTATGTTCATGAACCATGTTTACAAATCTGGTCTAAATTTGTGTTGAATATGAATTTTTGCAAGCTTCAGAATCAACTGTTACACCCATCTCTGAAACTCTAGGGGACAGTGTGCTTTTATTATAATTTTTATGCTTATGCCTCATGAATTCTGGTAATAGAAAAGTACACAACATTAATTTATGGACAAATATTTTTTAATTATAGTTGAAAGTTCAAGCAAAGAGCTTCTTGGAGGCAAAAATGACAAAGTTCCCTCTCATATGTTGGGCATGTTGTTAAGAAAGGTTATTATCATCAACCTGTGTTGTGCAGATGACACAATTCTGCTTGCCTAAACTGAGAAGCTCCTGAGGCATTTGCTGCAAAAGGTCAAGGACTGTAGCCTTCAATACGGATAGAAGCTCAACATCAAGAAAACAGATTCTCACCACTGGGCCAAATTGGCAACATCATGATAAACAGAAGATTTTGAGATTGTTAACAGTTTCAGCTTGTTTGGATCCACAATTCTTGGTACCAGGAGCCAAGAAATCAAAAGGTGAATTGCATTGGAAAAACCTTCTGTCAGGGACCTTTCCATATTACTGAAGAGCAATGAGTGAGTGAGTGAGGTAATGGAGGTAGGTGTGTTAGAGATAATGAAATTGGCTCAAGATAGAGCAGGGTTCAGAGCTATTGTACATAGGGTTACTATTAGTTACAAGCAACTCGATGGCACCTAACAACCACAATCACCACAACATTCCTTGAAGAGAGACATCATGCTTGGAAAGGTTAAGGGTCAGTGAAGGAGAGGTAGACTCTGAACTAGATGGCTTGACACAGTGATTGCAGCTATGGGCTCAAGTATATTAGAAATGATGAGGATGGCACAGGTTAGAACAGGGCTCAGATCTGTTGCTCATAGGGTTGCTGAGTCATACTCAATGGCACAAAACAACAACATTTCTGAAGCCTTGATGTATTCAAGGTACTGAATTCAGTTCTGTGAGGGATATTAAGATGAACCACCTAGATGATTCAAGTCTGTTGTTCATAAAGTCTCTATGAGTTGTGTCTCACTCAACGGCACCTAACAATAACAACAGCAGGTTAACAACTAGAATGACTGTAACATTGGTCTTGAGCTATTAGAGATCAAGAGAACGGTGCAGGATCAGACAGGGCTCAGATCTGTTGTTCAAAGAGGTGCTATGAGTTTCTGATGACTTGACGGCACCTGGCAACAGCATATCACAGAAAGAATTATCCTGGAGCTCATTGGTAAAGCATTTAGGTGCTAACTGAAAGGTTTTCCCTTTGAACCTACCAGTCAGGTGGGAGAAAAGATTACAGTCTAGGAAACCCTAAGAGGCAGTTATATCCTGCCACATTGGACCTCTTTGGGTGGAAGGCATAAAACTACCCTACAAAGCAGAAAGCTATAGGAGAAATGAGAGAAGAAATGTCTGAGTTATTCAACTCACTTCATACTCTTCAATACATTCGACCTTGGCAGCTTGATCTCATTTTTTAAAAAAGTTAACTATTCTTTTACAATTTACTCTTCAGAATTAGGAGTGCTGGTTAAGTGGTTAAGTCCTTGACTGCTAACCAAAAAGTTGTTGGTTTAAATCTGCCCTGAGGGGCTGAGTATCAGGCTGCTTGTGTAAAAACCTTTGCAGCCTCAGAAATGCTACACAGGCTGTTCTACCTTATCATTGAGCTGGGATCCACCTGATGGCAGTGGGTTTAGTTTTTTAGTTTTCGATTTTATTTAGTTCTTCAGAACTACTCATGAGGGGTTTGTGTGCCTTTTCCAACTTAGATGTGTATTATAAAAATCCAATGCCATGGAGTCTGTGCCAACCCGTAACAACTATGTAGGCTGCAGAGTAGAATTCCCTACAAAGATTTTTAAGACAGTAAAGTTTTACAGAAGCAGACTGCCACATCTTCTATGGGACGTAAGTGGATTTGAACCTCCAATCTTTTATCTAGTAGCTGGGTGTCTTACCTACAGCTCCACTGGAGCTCATTTTAATGAAAAGAACTTGGAAGAAAATTGCTGCTTCTGCCATCATTTTAAGAACACATTTGGAGATCTTAAATCTATACTTATTCTAAATAATCTTTAAAGACTTTTTCTTGTGTTTAGCACATTTGATTTTGGCCTTCAGTCCCTTTTGAATTCCTTTTCAGAGGGAGGCCAAGGAGTTATAACTCATTGTCTGTGACGCAGTTTTGTGCGTGTGTTCTTTCTCACAATGACCCTGAGTGATGGGGTATCTTATCTCTATTTTAAGACTTACTGAAAGTTTGATGCTCCAAGAGTAATTTATCCAAGGTCTCGGAGCTCTTACATGGTGGACCTTGAATTTCGACATTATTTCTGACCTCAAAGAATACGTTCTTGTTGCCATCACGTACTAACAGTGATTCAAGTGTATTTTAAAATTCCTACTTCTGGTTTTTGCGGTACTTTCGAAAAATCTCAGTTGACAAAAAACTTTCCTGTTGAGTCACACGAATACTACGTACTCAATTAACATGTCTTCAGCAACAGAGGGCTAGGGTTATTGTCTGCATTCTGCAGCATTCTTAGTTTGTTATAATTTACAGTTTTAAAGTTGTAATTAATCCTCTGTATGTCATGGCCAGTCCTATTCTGAAATGTCTAAAATTCCTTTTTTTCTACTGTCTTTGATAATGTCTAGAATTCCCTTTGGAACTTATTTTAACTCCAAGATCACGAGCTGTCCCAACCGGTTTATTTAAATGGAGAAGGGGGAAATGAATAACCTAGGAAAGCAGTTTAGATAAATGGAGGATGGTAATTTTGTTTCTTTCCGTTTGAACATCCATCTTTTAAAATGTGCGGTTACTGCACCGTAACTGAGTCCTAGCTGACTCTGAGGGGGTTCTCAAAGGCAGTATACATCGTATGAGGGAAACTGGGTAGATTCAAACCCAATGCCTTTAAGATCGCAGCGCAGCTTCCTACCACTAGGCCAAACCAGACCTCCCGGGCATAGGAGTTGAAAGCTCAGCACTTAGCTCCGCCTCCTAAACAAACAACTGACCGAGAGGCGTGGGACGGAGCCGGGAGGGGTGGCACTTGTTTCGCTGGTGAATTTATAGGAGGCTCGGAAGACGCGCCGAACCCACGGAGCAGAGTCAGCTGGACGCACGCAGCCCCGCCGAGCCCGCCCGCAACCCCACGCGTCCCCGCCGAGGCCTCCGGCGTCAGGCGCCGCTCCACTCGCCCCGGTCCGGGCTTCTCGCGGCCTGCGTCGCTTCCGGGAGTGCCCCAGCTGCTGGCTATGGCCGCCGCGGTGGGTGCCCGGCTCCTGCGCGCCTCCTCGGTGGCTGTGGGCGGCGTGGTCCACCGGCGGCTGCTCCTCGCCGGACCCCGTGCGGGAGTCGGGTGCCTCCCTGGGAGTCGGCGGTCGGGCGGGAGCGCGGAGCCGGGCCTGGGCGCAGGCACGAGCCGGCCGCTGAGCACGTCGGCGCCGGCGCTGAGCAGGTGAGAACGGGCGCAGAGCGCGCACGCGCGGAGGGTGGTCGCTCTGCAGGCCGGGGCCGCGCTCCCTCCCGGGGTCCCCGACACCCTTCCGGGGCGTCTGCGAGCCTGACCGCCCTGTGCCTCCTGTCACACCATAGTTCTCTTCTTAAGAAGGACCCGGGATTTCCTGTGCCCTCTGGAAAGCCGAGCCCTGTGCTGCCAACTTCTCTTCGTGGTGGTGACGAGATGGTGACATTGCACTGCTCGCACCTGGGGTGACCTTCATAAGATGCTGTCTCAGGAGCTTTTACTCTAATCGGTCATTTTCTTCGTCGTGCTGTTTAAGTCACTCTGCCCCAGTCTTTGGTTAGGGGAGGTCTACTTAAGAATGTTGTTATTTTCTTTAATAGATGTCATCGTGTGATTATGACATTTAACTATGACTCAAAGTAACCCTTTGAACGGCAGATCTGAACCTCTCTCTGTTCTGCACCTTCATGTTCTGACAGGTTCGAGCCCATTGTTACAGTCAGTGTTAGATCCATCTAGTTGAGTCTTCTATCTCTTTGCCCTTTCATCTTTCCCTTAATGTTGTCTTTTCACAAGGACCTCGTCCCCCCTGACATTTCCAGAGTATGTGAGATGGATATCACCATCCTTGCCTCTAAGCAGACTTTTTTTTCTTTTGGCGTTCCATGGGATATTCAGCATTCTTCTCCACCGCCACAATTCAGAGGCATTGATTTGTCATCCTCATTCGTTGTCTGACTTTCATGTGCATAGGAAGCAATAGAAAATGCCAATGCTTGGACTTAGACACACTTGAGTTCTTAATATGTCATAGCTCTTTGGTCCTTTGGCCAGATCCTTGACAGCACATTTTTCCATTGCAACATGCCTTTTGATTTGTTGACTGCTATTGCCATAAGTGTTGTTTATGGGTCTAAGTAAAATGAAATTGTTGCCAACTTCAGTCTTTATTGATCGCTGCCTGTTATACTCACTTTAATTCCTTTATGACTCTCTTTTAGGACTAAAAGTGTCTGCATTGGATTTTGTCCTTAAGACTTCTATTGCTTAACCTCTGTTAACTTGTTTCCCAGTGACAATAACAATAGTACACACCTCACAGGGATATTTGAAGATGTCAAAATAATACAGAAAAAGTGCTTAGATGGTACTTGGCAAAAGAACTTGTAGCCACAGTAGTTTTTTTTATACACAATTATAAAAATTTTATTTTAAAATTAAATGTTAAAAGAGATATGGCACATTTCCCTACAAGTATGTTTGAATTTTATCTTATTAAACTTACTTGTCTTTAAAAATCCATGAGATATAATGAAAAAATTTTTACTCCTACTTTGCAAGTGCAAGGACTTGGTAGACACATTATATATAGCACATCTCTGAGCAGATGTTTGGCCATGCAGTAAGGTAACATAAAGCAAGAACTAGGGGAGAAAGAGTAGAGTAGTACAAAGAAAGAGTAGTACAAATTGCGAATTGTTATGCACTTAACTATTAACCAGAAGTTTAGCAATTCTAAATTCCTCTCTAGGAACCTCTGCTGTTGTCAAGTTGGAACCAACTTTCAGTTGAACCTCAGTGGATTTTCAGAGGTAGTAAATGCACAGGAGGAGATTTTACCCATTTTACCACTGATGATCAGCTGAGGGATTTGAACCACATACCTCTACATTGGCAGTATTGTTTTTATTACTTAGCCACAAGAGCTCCCCTCTGCTGGCGTGGTTTTTTGTGCCATCAAGTGCCTGTGACTTACAGTGACCCTAAGTATACCAGCTCTGAACCCTGCTCTATCCTGAGTCAACCAATCCTGAGGTGTCTCTCTGACACACCTGCCCCAATTACCCCAGTCTCTGAGTCAATCCATCTCATCGAGGCCTTCATCCTTTGCATTGTCCCTCCACCCTCCCAAGTAGGCTGTCCCTCTCCAAGAACTGGTTAGTAATTGCACTGCCAACCCAAAGACAAAAAAAAGTAGGTAATCCAGCAGCTGCTCTATGGGAGAAAGATAGGCAGTCTCTTCCTGTGTGTTTTACTGCCTCTGAAAACCTGCTGGCTGGACGTCAGTGAGAGAGTTTTCTGTTCTTCACTGTCGCGCACCCACTTTTTAAGCCTCTGAAAGGTGTGGAAACCTGATAGGATGCAGTTCTACTCTGCAACGCCTGGGGTCGCTAGGAGTCTGAATCAACTCATTAGCAACTGCTATTTCTCTGCACTTTACTGCCTTCAACTTGCCTATGTAAAAGCCTTGCTTTATACAATGAATGTATTTTTGAAAAATTGTGTATAAATGAGACATCGATTGAGCATGTTTGTATAACTAGTAGTAAGGCACATGTAAATGACTTGGCAAAAGAAAATTGTCTCCTCGAGTTTTCTAAATTTGGCTCTGGATGTTTCAAGTTTTATTAAAGGGGAATATGCTGTTCTGTTTCCCCATAAGCCTACTTCCTCCTTTTCTTGTCACAGTTTCTGCTGAGGGCCTGCACTTTACGTCAAAGATTTTAGAGCTACAACTGGACTTCCTATATCTCATCGTAGACCTGTGTTGTCCCAAATGATAAACACTATTACCTAAGAGTAAAGGTTTACTCAAATCAGAGGGTCCATTTCTCAGTTGTACTAGCCAGTTTAGGGTATTCAGTGTGGCTGCTGGCTTAGACAGTGCAGGTGTAGACTGTTGAAGCAGTTGTTCAGACTTAGGAAACTAACATTTAGATGAATGATCAGCATATGAGCCGAAAATACTGTGTATACACCAAAATTACTCTATAGTCTGGTAGACATAGAGGAGACAGTGTCTGGCTTCCTGTAACTTCACACAGAAGAAAAATCCCATCAGTAGCAAGAAGTTGACTTCTGTGAGGTCAGATGTGCCTTACTTTCCAATACTCCGCACCTTCTAATAATTTTACCATCAACCACCCTCCCAAGGTACTCATTGCTTCTCTATTGAATTTGAGATTTTGTTATAGCAGCCACACGGAACTCACAAAACTCATGATTGTGGGGCTTATTAGGGAAGTAACAGATTACATTCAGATTTGGAAACTCTCAGGATATAGCTTTTCAGTTGTGACAGTCTCTTTTCAGCTGTGACAAAGGGTAGGGCTCTCACTGACCTTCAGCCTCATGGCCTTGGCCTCAGTCCTGCTCAGGCAAGGGTTACAAAGCTCATGTAGCTCTCCCAGTTATGTGCCACCACCACCCACCCTGCCGGTAATCCTAGGCATGAAGATGCTTGTCTTTAGTTGTGTGGATTGGAACCCCTCCTGGCCCCAGCTCCCTCCCTGGGCTGAAAGCCCACAGCCCTGAAACAGGGCTCTGATTCTCTGCAGTCATGCAGTCTCTTTGATGCTAGAGTTCCTTGTTTGTGTTTGCGTTTGTGTGGAGATCTCAGGTTCAGAGGATGGACTGTACCCTCTAACACTTCCTTCTTGATAGTAGTGAGATCTCTATTTTCTGAATGGGGCATAGTTCAAGGGACCAGACCCATGTTGTTAGCCTTTGGCACACCCTGTTGGCCTGGTCATACCAAAAGCTCTGATTGTGTAGTCCCTAGGGAGCTGCACTGCAGACTTAAAGGTTGCACTTCTGATGGTGAGAATCAAAGGGAGAAAGAGGAGCCTGTCTCTTGTGTAATTTACAGCCTCCCACAGAGTTTGAGTTTTTACCCAAAGATGCTGTTTCTTTGTATATTTTAGTAGCAAGTTGTGAGGTTGCCATGAGGTAGAAGGGACACAATGGGAACTGGTCAAAACAATTTAGTACACAACAGCAGCTCAGTCTTCTTAGCAGTGAAGGTCTTGGGCTTTGAAATAATTTATTAGCATTTATCGCTTTGGGTTTTTTGCATACATAGGGCAGGACTGCTGGTGTGTGATCACTGTAAATAGTTAAAACTCTGCAGAGTGTTATCCTATTTGGCAGAAGATGGATGGATCTGAGATAAAAGAGATTCTTAGTCTATTCCTTTGCTGTAACATTAGCTCTAGAATGTGCTCAGAGAAAAGCCAGCCTAATTTTTTCCTAAATGATCACTGAATAGTGTGGGTAAATGCTGATTCTTCTTGTGCTTTTGTAGCTTTAGCTGTCAGGCATGATGTCAGGTCACCAGACTTCTCTACTGGGCGTAAAGCAGAATTTCCACCCGGCTTTTGAGCCTTCTTAAATGATTTTCCCCTTGTTAAATAAAGCAGATCTCAATCAGATCCATTTCCATCCTCCCCAAACTCCTCTTCCTTTTCTCTTAACCTTTGATTATACAGAACCATCTGATTTCTAGCCTGTAAATCTCAACATTATTTCTTTTCTTTATCATAGATGGTCACCAGACTTTTCAATTCAATCTCCTCAATATCTCTTACAGAGCTCTGGTGAACTAGTGGGGAAGGAGTTGTGCTGCCAACTCAGACTCAGCCAGTTCGAATTCACCAGCTGCTCCATAAGAGAAAGATGGACAGTTTCTAGTTTCCTCCTGTGCAGTTTCAGCCTTTGAAAACCCGCTGAGGGTCAGCTCTGAGGTCATTCCGATTCAGTGGCATGTGAATCTTCATTCTCAGCCATTCTACCCTGAAATAAGGACAGTTGATCATGGATAATATTTGGGAATGCTCATTATTGAACTATTTTTGTTAAAAAAGAAGCTGGAGAGCATAGGTCATTTCAAGGAGCACACATGCACATACACAAACTGGCTTTTAATTAATTGGTTTTTTTCCCCCTCTAACTTTGAAAATTCACAGAAGGTGTATCTAATAAGACTTTTCGTTTTCTCAGCCATGAAATTGGAATAATTGTTATTATAATTTTCAAGATACTTTATAATACTTTCATTTAAAATTTCAGTTACAGTAAGCACAAGCTTTCTTTGATGGACTATTAACTATCTACTGGCAGTAGTGGAAACTGCAAAAAATTATTTTAAACTTTGGTACATGGTTTTCTGGGTTTTTTTGGTACTTTGCTTGTCTTTGATATTAGGATTGTGCTTGCTTCCTAGAATGACTCTGGGAGTGTTCCTTCTTTTTCTGTTTTTTGAAATAGATAGTCTCTGAATGTTTGATAGAATTCATCTGTGAAGCCATCTGGTCCAGGACTTTTTTTTTTGGGGGGGGGAGTGGGGACAGGGAGAGGGTCTTTTTATGACCTGCTCAATTTCTACTTTTGTGATGGGTCTGTTCAAATTTTTTCCATCTGTCTGTGTCAATCTGGGTAGGGCATGAATTTAAAGGAATTTTCCCATTCCTTTGTTGTGGTTATGTGTCGTTGAGTTGCCTGCAACTCATAGCATCTCTATGTACAATAGCCCTAAACTCTGCTCTATCCTGTGCCGATCTTTTTGTCTCTGACACTCTCACCTCCATTATCCCAGTCACTGAATCCATCCATCTCATCAAGGGTCTTTCTCTCTTGCACTGTCCCCACACCCTCCCAAGCATGACATTCTTCTCCAGGGATGTCAAACGAAGCTTTAGAATACTTGCCTCCAAGAAGCAATTTTACCCTCTTTATGACAAACTTGTTTATTCTCTTAGCAGTCCATGGCATGTATATTCAATACTCTTCTCCAACATGACAGCTCAAAGGCATCAATTCTCCTCCTATCATCCTTCTAGGTCTTCACATTTGTCAGAGTATAGCTTTTCATAATATTCTAGTATTTATTTCAGTGAGGTGAAAGTGAAGAATGGTGGAAGAGGAAGATCAAGCTGCTAGTATTTCTTCTAAATTTGGAATGATGTGTGCATAGGAAAAAATGCTAAAAGTAAGCTCCTTGATAGATAATATCTAATTTGTATATTGTTGTTTTATATAATTGAGTCAGAACCAACACATAGCTGACCCTTCAGCTGATTTTTAGGGGCTATAAACCACATGGGAGGAGATTGCCCATCTTTCTCCTTTGGAGAAGCAAGTAGATTTGAACTGTCTACTTGTGGATTGGCAGTGCAACTTCTTACTCATTAGGCCACCAGAGCTCCCTATTTTATTTATTTATACATTATATGTATGCTATGTGTATATATAAATATATATAGTATACATCTTATACACATGTATATATGTGTATGTGTGTGTGTATATATATATATGCATATGCATATGTTGTGTGCTGTTGGGTCGGAACTAAATCATAGTAGACCTCCTAGTGGGTTTTCAGAGGCTATAAATTACACGAGAGGAGATTGTCTATCCTTCTTCTTTGGATATGGAAGTATTCATTTTCCATTAAACAATAAAACCATTATTCATCTCTTCTGTTTTAGGACAGTACAAAGTATGGATTAAAATGAGATGTTCATATGCTCAGAAAACTATCAGACCACTGCCTCTCAGCAGCAGTACACTGTCAGAATAGCGGAGTCGTTTGCTCTGGTCTCCTCTTTTGGGAACATGGGCATAGGGACATTGTTTTTCCCAGAACTGCATGATTATAAAATAGATTTTATAATCAGTGATGATTCCTAAATACCCTCACTTCACTACAGAGTGTACTAAACGCAGTGTGTACTAGACTACAGGGTATACTGCAGAGAAGATAAATACTCGAAACCACCAAGTACACTGATAGTGACATCGTTACTCTGTTTCTTTTAAAGTAGTAGAGCTACTTGCATAGAACTTGAGTAGATAGATATGCCTCTGATTTGTAGTGTAACCTTCAACCTTGGAAAGAAAAAGACTATAGAACAGTATATCCACACACAACCTAACAAAATACCCCACACTATTTCTTTGACCTTTCAGATTCATGAAACAGTTCTTTAAAATTGTCTTTTGAAATTCCTAAAAATACTCAAGAATTGCTTTCTTTTCCAGCTCAGAAGATAAAGTCACAGTCCACTTCATTAATCGTGACGGTGAAACATTAACCACCAAAGGAAAAATTGGTGACTCTTTGCTAGATGTTGTGGTTGAAAATAACCTCAATATTGATGGTTTTGGTGAGTACGGAACATTCCTTGAAATTTAAAAATTAAATAGTTGTCCAGGTCTCACCTTTTTTTGGGGTTTCCCTTTTCTTTTTAGGCAGTGGATTTTCACTTTTAACATGCTGAGTAAAATGCTAAATTCAGTATATTTTAAATGTTAAGTGTTAAAATTTCATGTGTAAAGGATAACTGAGTAGCACTGTGTTTCTATTCTTTGTACTTTTAACACGTTAAAGAACTCTCCAGAAATCTACTATGGCTTAATTGCCTTACTGTTTACATGTGTGAGGCAAAGCTAAGGATAGATTATTAATAGTTAAGTACTTTACCCCAGAGGACTTTTTAAATAGTTTTCATTTAATTGTGAAGTCAGTTTACCTTCTTAGGCAGTTTTTTAAAGTGATTTGTCTACCTCTTATAGATTGTTGTGTACTGTGGAGTCAGAACTGACTCATGGCTGACCCTCAGCAGGTTTTCAGAGGCAGTAAATCACCCGGGAGGCTATTACCCATTCTTCTACCATGGAGCAGCTGGTGAATTTGAACCACATACCTTTGGGGTTGCAATACAGCTTCTTACTGCGAGGCTACTAGAGCTCCCTACCAGTTAAAAGAGAAGGAAATAATTTTCTTTAAAAAGGCTTAGTTTTCAGTTTTTCCTCCCACTGCATTTCTTCTCCACACTTAGTTCCAGCAGCTGCCATCTTACACTTCCTCAGGCAAAGCTTCTATATCATCTTTGCTCTAGGACCCTCTCTGTGTGACTCTCAGAAGAGGGCTCCAGCAGCAGCAGCTGGGAATTGTACATTCTCAGACCCCACTGCAGACACTAAGGACGTTGTTAGGCGCTGTCGAGGAGATTATAGTCCATAGCAACCTGTGAAATTAGAACTCTGCCCTATCCTGTACCAGCCTCACCATCTCCAGTGTGCTCAAGGCCGTTGTTACAGTCCTGTGCCAGTCCATCTTGTTGAGGGTCTTTCTCTCTTTCTCTGACCCTCCTCCTTTTTTCCAAGGAATGGTCCCTTCTGACAATAGGGCCAGAGGATGGGAGATGAAGTTTCACCACCTTTGCCTCTAACGGAGGTAGGACTCAGCAGTGTACATTTCAGCAAGTTCCCAATGGGATTAGTGCATACTAGCAAGGTTTAGAACTCTTCATCTGCAATAATGTCCAAGTTGCATATCTGGCATTCAAGATGTAGTAGCTTATTTATACTACACATTTAATAACTATTTCTAGATCAGAATTAATTTCCCCCCGTTTTTAAATGATACATAGGCCTTTCTATTGGTGATTATCAAAATGTACCTTTTTTCAGGCTTTTCTCCTTTCAGGGAGGAAGGTCTGTCTCTTTGGGGATGTATCTTTCTGATAAAGTCATCATTACTATTTACCCTAAAAAAAAAGTATTCCTTTTTTCCTCTCCCTTAATAGATTGTGGACACTTGAAAGATGTAGTCACTCAAGTAACCATCACAGAGTGGACTGTTCAGAGGTGTCATTCAGTGATATTTGCTGAATTTCTAAATATGCTATTTTCTTTGTCCATTGCAGGATAATTTGAACAAGTGCCATTAGAGTGCATGGAGTAGTCCAGCACGAGGTATCTGTTGTACCAACCCTGCAAGGGAGGTTGCTTGCTTTTGTTTTTATGCTTCAGTACATAGATGAAGATGCTAAGGCCCAGAGACATTCATTTGCTCAGGGCTGTACATCTAGGGAGTGAGAACACTGAGAAGATGTGTAGAAACGATTAGCCCAAAGGACCGATGCACCATGTGAACCTCAGCCTTCACTTCTGAGGCCAGAAGAACTAGATGGTCCCTGGCCACCACCACTGAGAGTAGAGGGTCCTGGGCAGAGCATGCTGAGTGAAGGGAACAAATCGGAGGGGAGGGGAAATGATGAGGTGTATTAGAACGATGGAGTGACCCTGTGGCCCTTTTCACCCCTCAATCCCGGAACAACTTTCCTTTGTGGTTCAGTTATCAGCTATGCAGTAGACAAGCCTGTAAGGTGAACAGTAACAAGGGAGGGACGTGCTCTTTTCCGAGGACTGGCCCATTCTGACAACAGGCCCAAGTATGTGAGGCGGGGTCTTGCCCTCCAAGAGTTCATATTAGCCACATTCTTTTCTCTTCTCACTCTGGAACCCCTCCATGTCTCCGGTTTTCTTTTTTTAAAAAAATTATGGTAAAATATATAACATAGAACTTTTGCCATTTCTGCAATTTTTATGTAAAATTCAGTGGCATGAGTTCAGCCACACTTTAATGAAATTTGGGTACTCCGAATTATTTTTTCAAAGGAAAGAATTCTGCTTCTCGTTCTGTGCCATCACATTGGAACCAACCCAGAGCTGACTCTCTAGCTGGTGCTCAGACAGTAAATTGCAGTGAGGGGAGATTGCCCATCTTTCTCCCTCGGAGTATCTGGTGGATTTGAACCTTGTGCCTTTGGGTTGGCAGTTCAGTTCCTTACCAATAGGTTACCAGCACTCCCTAGAGGACATAGAACAGTAATAAAGAGTTTATAGTGCAGCAATAAAGAGTATGTCAGGTATCAGACAGATTATGGTTTATAAACTGATACTGTCACCTAATAGCTGTGTGATCTGGAGCTTGCAATTTAATATTTTTAAAGGGTTTATTAGTACAACTCCTGTCTTGGTAAGAAGATTTAGGAACTTAATCTGCTCATGTTCCTCTCCCCAGTGCCGCCGTAGCCTTGAAAATCAACAACCTCATAACTGGTTGCAGTCATTAACTGCCTCTGAAGACCCACTGGAGGATCAGCTATGGGTCGGTTCTGACTTAGCGGCACTCAACAACAACAACAACAACAACAACATGTTGCATATCCTTGCAGCTCACTGCTTATTGTTGCTCACCTACTTTTGTTGCAACTTTTAATCAGAGCAGCTAACTTCTTTTCTCTAAAAGGTGTAGAAAAACTTGTCAGCTAGTCATCTAGAACTGTGTGTCATAAACACTCACCTTCACCTTAGGATAGCAAGACCTAGAGAAAGCTCTTGTGTCTCCCAAGCTCAGTGCCATGCATTTTACTTAAAGTGACAAGAATGTGTGCTAATGTCCACTCACTCACTCAAGGGCATTAATATGGCTCGTTTTCACCTTTTTGGGAGCTTTGGTGACCTTGTATGTGGAGTGTTGCACTGCTAATCCAAAGGTCGTATTTCTGGTTCAAATCTACTGATGGTTCTGAGGAAAAAAGATGGGCCATTTCTACCTGAACAATTTACAGTCTTGGAAAACCAGCAGAGGGTCAGCCGTTAGTCACTTCTGACTCAACAACAGTGAGAAAGTCCCACCTTTACACTGAAGGCCACTCTAGAATGTATAAAAAGAAGAAACGGGAATATAGCAAATCTACACTTGGTAACCCAATATTTTTCCCTTTCTCTCTTTAACAATGAGTTCTAATTGAAAAAAAATTTCATTTTAAAAACGTGGCCAAAATTGGATATAATGTCCTGTACAACTAACTGCCTCTAAAAACCTGCTGGAGGGTCAGCTGTGAGTCAGTCCAACTCTACAGTACACAGTAACAACAACAACATGTGTCTACGCTTGTATGAGTACACGTTGCTGATGTTCTGTGTGGATGGTGCAGAACCTCCAGCAGGTTTTCAGAGGCTCTACATCCCATTTCTCCCTGAGAGCAGTCACCCTGGGGTTGGCAGTGCAGTGCTCACTCAATAGACAACCAGAAATCTATATGGAGATAAGAGAAATCTAGAAAGAAAGTGGGGAAACTTTTATAAAAACAAACAAGCTTGGAAGCAGAAGTAGCATTCACTTCCAAAATAGCTTGTTCCTGTGAGCACTTGGTGGGTTCAAACCACTTGCCTTTAAGACTTCAGTGTAGCTTCTTACCACTAGGTCACCAGAGCTCTCTAAATTTCAGGGAGGAAAATATTGTGTTGTAGTAAATGCCAAAGTGTATCTTAAAAAGTGTATCTTGTGATTCCTTTTTTGTTTGAATCATAAAACCCAGAAAAGCTTCCGAGTGCCATCTTGTTGTTTCCTATTCATAGGAGATCTCCACTGGGTTTCCGAGACTGTACATCTTAATGGGAGAAGACTGCCCATTTTTGTCCTACTGAGTGGCCAGCGGATTTGAACCACCTACCTTTTGGTTAGCAGATAGAACTATGCACAACAGCACAGCGCTTTTCTTCTTTTTTGGCTGTGCAGTGGAGGTTGACTTATACATTTATATGTTTGGTGGCTGTTACCACTCTGAGGGTATAGAAAATAAGTGGCAAGCATTGCTCAGGCCCTTGAGAAAGCAGATCTCTTTTGATCTGGGAAAGCACATGCAGTGATTTGTATCCTGGAATTGTCTTCTCGAACTGCCCTTTGAAACCTTCTCTTCATCTTGCTCACTTGGCAAGACTTCCCTTTGTGTTGGCCTCTTGATGCTCTAGTGCAGTTCCCGGAGCCTCTTGTGACACCCATTTTGATCTTTTCTTTTTCCTGTCTTTGAAATAACCTTTTGCTTTCTTCATGGGTGACACTTTTGATGTCCCCCCCATAATTTATATGATCTTTGATCATTGGTGTTTAAGTGCCTCAAATCTATTCTAGTGATGGTTTTCAAGTTTATGTGAGATAGACTCAAGATTGTATTTTGGGGTTTTTTGGATTTCTTTTCATTTTCTTCAATTTGAATTTGAACTTGCACGTGAGTAGTTGGTCTGTTTCACAGTCATTACCTGGTCTGGTTTTGACTAATAATACTGAGCTTCTCCAATAATTGTTTCCACAAATAAAATCAATCTTCTTATTGTGTAGTGCATCAGGTAAGGCCCATATATATAGTTGCTGTTTGTGTTTTTAAACAATAGACATTTGCAATGAATGAATAGTTCATTGTACAAAATTCAATAGTTCTGTCTTAAAAGATAGAATTAAAGGACATGCTGCATTTGGAAAATCTATGTTCAGGGACCTCTTCAAATTGCTAAATAGCAAGGATGTTGGTTT